ATATTTTTATGAAGAATAAAATTATCTCGTAAACCTGCTATGTCTAATACGACTTCATTTTCCCTTAAAATTATTCAACTAAATCTACATCGTTCTAAAAAGGCAACCCAACAGCTTGTGCTGAATATGGAAAATTCTGACGCCGATGTCGCAATTGTACAGGAACCCTATTACTATAATTCTTTTTTACCAATTTTTCCTTCTTCCTACCGGATTTTCTTTGATACACATAGTGACACCATCAAAGCTGCTATTATTATTCGGAATAAGCAAGTATCTATCTTTTTAGATTTAAAGAATCTTAGCTACAATATGGTTCTTCTTCATGCTTCTTACCTTAAGTCCGAGTTTATTTTGCTTTCATACTATTTTGAACCCAGTAAAAATATTGAAGATGATCTTAGCAAAATTAATGATGCTCTTTCTACCAAAAACTGCAGTAAATTAATTTGGGCTATGAATGCCAATAGTAAATCTGAAATATGGTTCAGTCCTTTTTCGGATTCGCGCAGTGCTAAGCACTGTGATTTTTTTAGCATGTATCATCTTTTCGTGATTAACGAAGATTGCGGCCCCACTTTTTGCGGTTCCCAGGGTTCCAGCTATATTGATGTTACGGTTGTGGGAACTGATCTTCTTGGTGATGTTTCTAGTTGGAGTATTCCAGACTATGAATCTTTGTCGGATCATCTTACTATTGAATTTGATATTGCTCTTTCTCCTCATATTTCTTCTTCAATTTATCAACCAATTCGCTTTAATGTTAACAAAGCAAAGTGGGACCGTTTCTACTTTTTCTGCAAGGATAAAATTAACAATCTTACTAACCTCTTAGATTCCTGTACGGATCGTAATTCTCTTTACACTATCACAGATGACTTAGGTTCTGTTATCTACCAAGCTTCTAAGCTTTCAATGCCTATTAAGAAACACGGAGCTCATAAAGTGCCCTGGTGGACCACAGAAATTAACTGTATGAGGAAACAAGTTAATGCAGCAAGGCGAAGATTTCAAAGAACTCATAACTCTTCTATAAGAGAGTTCTACAGACAAAAATATCTACAACTCAAAAAAATTTACGGTAATAAACTTCTGGACGCAAAACTTTCTTCTTGGGAAGAATTTCTAAATACGATTAATGTGCATAATGTTTGGAAACAAATTTATACTTATGGTATAAAGCGAAATTTCACCAAAAGAATTGATTTTACTGGCATTCGACTCCCTTGTGGTGCA